AACACACTATATGAGATCAAAGGATGGCAAACTATTTCATAAGGATACATTGCGTTATTTATATTATAGTTCAGCACATTTCACTTTAATAAGCTATACCTTTTTTGTTACTGTTCTTCTCTTCATTTTTGTTATTATTAAAGTTTTAAATAGAATTTACTTCGACATTTATTTCGAGTTAATGTGGTAATATTCAACAATCAACAATATTTTGCAATTCTTAGACGCACAGCTGTTTGTCATATAACGCTGTTTTTGTTTATTTACAAATATGGATAGAAATTTTCCAAACACTGTAAAACTTTAAAGTGTAGCGATTCATGAGACAATTCAAATTTTTCGCTTAGTTTGCAATTACGTGGACAAGAAAATAAAAAATGGTTATAGTACGAATAGAGGACATGATAAGTAATTATAGATGCACTCATTGTTATTAAAATAACTACATTTATTTTAATTACCATAACTTTTTAGGCAATTCGTGTATTTTTCTCACTTCTCTAATAGTAGCTGCATTAATCAACCTCTGCTGGAAGATGGGTTACGAGTGGCTGTACTATAAGCATCATTATCATCCACCAAATATTGTTAAGCAGATATTTTTACGTGTTTTTGAAATCAATATTGGCATATTTTTAATACTTGTTATAGATGTAATATTACTTGTTTACTTTTGGAGTAAGTTAAATTTATTAGAACTGTTATTTGACGTTCCATTATGTCTGGTAGCTATGGCGTCGGGACTTCTTCGAAGTGAATTCGATCAAGTTAGTTTTATACGTAAATCTCACAGCTTAGATTATGCTGGTGGAATGGCCAGTAATTATTATTTTGGCTATCTAAAACATGTTTTGGCTGCATCGGTTACAGATGTTTTAGAAGGAATATGCGAACGAATTAAATTGTACTCTGCACAACATAGTGTGTCTTTTGTCAGTGATAAACTGGTTATATTGATACCAAACACTATGTACCTAAACCCAAAAATTGATGATAGTAAATTATTAGAAAAAACAAATGTAAGTTAACAATTTTTTAAAAAGAATAATAACATTATCTATATATTGTATTATACACAGGCTCTGGAACCTGTAATAAAAAATCGAGCTGGTGTTCAAAGAAGGTTTTACAACGATGTATATCGAATAAAAAAGCCCATTAATAATAAATACTATTATATTGTTCTTGAGGGAGCAACACCTTTACAATCATTTTATGACGCAATGCAAGAGGAAAGGAATATTTCCAGAACCTCATTGAAAAGAATGCAACGTGAAATATTATTAAAATTTTATACTTATTTGAAAAAATTGCTTTTGAGCCGACCAGATACAGAAAATGAAGCTGAACTAATATTATATAATGGTAATTATCTTAACTATTATTTTTTTGATATTTTTTTGACATTACTTGATGTATTGTAATTAATAGTACATTTTAATTTAATGATACACTTTAACTAGAAGCATACCATGGTATAAGCATAAGCATGAGCATACTTTATAAATTTTTAAATAATATCAGATATCCGAATAATTACATTCAAATATCATTTGTATTAGATATATGATAAGGTTCTACTCCAATATGATGGTATATCTTAAAACGTATAAAAGCGTAATTAACACATTTGTGGTATTAATTCAGATGTCTCTTGAATACATTGTATTTATTATTTATGTAATAGGAGGTTAATAAATCCTTAAGATTTTGATCATTAGGTTGATTAAAGCAAACGTTTTATATGATGCATATCCTTTGTAAATTAAAAAGTTGTTAGTTAATCTAAAGTAGTTCAGAAGATAATATATTTACATTATGCTGTATGTTTTAATAATTCTTAAATCTTATTTTAATAAATATCTTGTTTACTTTAATAGCATATAAGGAAGATGGCTCAAAAGTGGACGTGGGCGAAGTGATAATAAGTTATTTTCATGAGAAACTAAAAAAAGAAACGTAATTTATCGAATCTGTTTTATAAGAAACTATTAACTAACTAAATGAGTAATATTTGTCTTTTAATGCTAAAGCAATGTTAACTAACTAATGGCTATGTTTTTAAATTTTTTTTTGTTAAAGTATGACTTTGCTACTTTAACATGGACTATGATCATTTTTATCTATTTTTACAAATAATATATAAATATAATTTAATATAAAATATGTTTTTTATTATAGTCATGTTTTTATAATTTAATTTTATAATTCTTAACATAAACCAAATATATTTTTTTTACTCGAATAGATATAATTTTCGTAATTATATCTATTAAAATGCAACTGTAAGTATTGTCTTTTGTATTTATATTAAGAGAAACTTTAAATCCAACATACATTGTGTAAATCCCCAATTTTTGTTTCAAACTGTTAACAATAATTATTGACATTTAAATACTATAATTAGTAATTCTTGTGTAAAATAAGCTAAACAAAGTTTATTTGTTAATAACTTGAATTCCATGTATATCGTGAATCAAATTATATTGCAGTATAAAACGAAAGTTGTAAATTGTACGATTCACTGATATCACATGATGCCATAAAAAATAGTTTTTAAATATTTTGATATTTTTGAAATTACATGACTGTTTTTTAATAAGTTTTATTTGTTAAGAGTATATAAACATTATAAGAAATATTTTTTAAAGCATTTTTTATAAAAATAAACTTTCAGAATTACATACAACTTATATTTTGCATAATAAACGTGTTGTCATAAAAGACTATTGGTTTTAAATTTACTTTGTAGTTTAAAATAATTAAGTGCGAATTTAAGAGTGTGAATGGTTTATAATTATAAATTTTTAGTTGAAAAAGTTTTTATGTTAAATTTATTGACACAAATGCAATTTTTATAACCTTTAGCTTAAGCATAAACATCTCTTGTTTGAGACTGTCCTAAGGTGCCCTTTTAATCTATTGGTAACATAATACATAAGATGTCTTAAGATGCTCCTTTAATTTATTGATAATATTTTACAGATATGTATGCATAGTTTTTGTTTGGGCTAATAGTCATATATATATAACAAATGATTAATTTATTTTGTTCGAATAATTATAAAAATATATTGGTTTCACATATCTGTTTAACAAACAAAAAATTGCGAACCGAACAAGGTAAAAATTAAGTTTTATTACCTTAAACTGTATTTAGAACTAATAGCTTAATATATAGATAGATAGCCTAATAGATATTTAAAAAGATCTATTACTCTACATCTCTCGTGTGAAAACCATGCTACAACGATATTTAAAACTTATTCATTACATTATACATTATATATTATACATTACATTACAATTAAGAATATAATGTAATAATTACTATTATTACCCTACTAATATTAATTTACTGTTTCTTAATCTTTACTTGTTTCAACAGTTGAAAATATTTGTTACTGGAATGTGTTTTTCACGTTAAAATTCCATACAGCGGTAAATTATGGCATAACAGTCTTGTAGCAATAATGACAAAAATATTAGAATTTTCAAGCAAACAGTTAAAAACAAAAGGATTAATTTATGTTAAAAGAACTTTTCATTTTTACAAAAGGTAGTTTTCTTAATAATAGCATAAACCTTCTACAATTTGATCAGTAATATGTCAACATTCAAAATACAATTTTAAGAAACGCATTTAATATAAACTATAAATAAATAATATAAACTATAAATAAATAATATAAACTATAAATAAATAATATAAACTATAAATGAATAATATAAACTATAAATAATATAAAATTTAAATAATAATGAACAACTTTAAATCAGTTATCAATGATTCCGTACTTCAGGTAAGTTTGCTTCTCGCCATTTCTAGAATCCTTTCTTTCCACACTTCATAATCTTCCAACACTGACACATTAGATTTGCTTGTACTAACTTCTGGCTGTTTGTATGGCTTAGACTCCTCTGGGTGTAAGCCCTTCATTTTTTTATCAATAGAATCTTTATATTGCATTGCTATAAATCTATCCCAACGCTTTTCTAATTGCATCCACTGTGTTGGCCTTAGATTACTATATGGCATGAGTCTTGTTTTCGGTGGTTTTTTCTTTAATATTTTACAAGCCTGAAATACAGCAATTGCTGCATATTGTGGATGATTGATATCAATGTCGTGGTTTTCCTTAGCTACTATATTCTTATATAATTCATGCAGTTCATTAGCCTTTTTTGATACTTCGCTTAGTCCTAACTGAATACAAATATCGTTAACGCCAACTACTTTGTCCAAATCCAAAAGTTTTTCTATAATACGCTTTCTATTAATATAATGCGCTTTTTTTAAGTGGGATAATTTTATAGCCTGCTCCTGCAAACAGTGTATGGCATGAATTTAAAATACATGTAAATATTGGTTATTGTAAAACATTATATATTTTCCAATTTAATATATTTTATATTTACCGTGTCAAATGCTATACCCAGCATGACCGCTGCAATATCTGCACATATAATAATTTTTCCATATTCATTAATAGGAATATTTATAGACCGTAATTCCAACAAACGTGCAAGTTCAGTTGTTTTGCTGAACAAATACAAATATTAGCAATTATTGACAAATTTCTGATGAAAAAAACAAAATTGATAAAAATGCTTACCTTAACATGTTGGGTTCGTCATATATTCCCATTTTGCTGATGACTTGTTCAATTAAAGTGGTCATGACTTTGAAAAGTTTTTCAAACTTTAAATTTTAATGAAATCAAAATAAAACAAAAAATATGCAATCGTAGCGTTTTTGGTTTACTTTACTTTAAAAATGCTTTGCGATTGTCAAAAATGAGCGGGAAAAATCAACAACAAAAATGCACATATGGTTTTATACTACAGTAATTCTCAAAGTGTGTAATAGTTAATACTTTTAAAACTTTCAAATAAAAAAAAACAAATGAAAAAACAACATAACAACAATATTTGTCATTCTGTGCAATTGGAAGCAAATGGGAAGCGTTTGTTTGTTGAAATTTGGCTGATTATAAATTTATAGTGAATTAGTTTTTAATATATTTTGTAATATTTAATATAACAAATATTTAATATGTATTCAGTTCCAATAATACCACCTGATTTAAGACATGAAGAAACAATAATTCAAGCAGCCTATGCACTTGACAACATGCAAACTACAATTAATAAAGTTTTTGAAAAAATTGATAATCGTATACAACAAAATAGTAACAAAGTTAATGAATTAAGCGAGCGCATCACCAAGGCACAGCTAAAAATTAAAAGTCTAGTAGGCTCGAAGAAAGCCATCAAAATATGCGCACCAGCACGATTTCCGTCTTCCCGAGTGTTTCATGATATTCCTGTAACATTTACACCATCGACTGTTGAAACGTTAGATGTGTGTACTGATTTCAATGTGCAAAGCCGTATAGATCCAGCATCTATAGTAGCTCTCAATGAGAAATTGCAATTCTTTCATGTACGCACAGAACAATCAGAAGCATTAACGAAGTCTTTAGCAACAGCAAAAAGGGAAACAAATCAGAAACTTGGCAAGGGCGTAGTGCCAGAACAATTACGGTCTGTGTCTTCCGTGTTGCTTTTTAATACCAACGAATGTGTTTATGGTTGTGATAACGTTGATGAGTGGAACAATTGGAAGCGTGCCAAATTAATAAAAAATCAAAGACAACCGAAAACAATGTCATCTAAAAAGCAATTACTTGAACCAGCGCCACATTCATTGGCTAATCGTAATGTAAAACATACACCATCGGGTGGACTACGTTATACACCAAAATTAAATGAAGCGCCTGAAATTAATTTACCACTAGATCTTCCCGATTTACCTGGTATTGCTAATGACATTCAATTCGAAGAAAATGAACAACAGAAAATCGCACCTTCTCTATTTATCGAAAATTTGCCTGAGTTTCCAGAATTAGTGGAGCATGTAGAAAAGCAAGAAGAAAATATTAAGCCAATTGACAACATTCCACAAACATCAATTGTTAATAGTGCCATTGACATAATACCCCCACCACCGCCACCGCCACCACCTCCACCAGCGACTGTGATTTCATTGGCACCAGTACCACCACCCCCGCCACCACCGCAATCCTTCAATGCAAGTAAATCACTAGAAAAAAGCGCTAAAGGTAATTCCAACAAAAATATGCCTGTGATTGAAGACTCTCGTTCAGAATTAATGGATGCAATACGAAAAGCAGGCGGAGCACGTGGTGGTCGGTTGCGTTCAGCTGCTGCGGCGCCTGTTGATGTTGTTGACAATCGTACAAAACCTATTAAAACTAAACCTATTGGGGGTGATCTTATGGCCGATCTGCATAATAAACTGATTATGCGAAGAAAAGGAATTTCAGGCCAAAAGGAAAACAACAATGATAGATCAGCTTCAAATACAACAGGAGGTGGTAGTAATTCCGTTATATCGCGTTTATCAGCACTTATACCAGCTCCGAAGAATAATAGTGACGATGAAGAAGAAGATGAATCAAATGATACTGATTGGGTAGATTAATCTATGCAGCAGAGCTTTTAAACTATATAATTAATTAAACAATATATAAAAAAATTTACCAGCTGTGCCTTAAATTTGCTTCTCAGAAGAATCTTTATTTCGGAAAGCATTTTTAGTAAACAAAATATTTAGTAAGGTTAAATTAATAAAATTTATGAAGTCAATTACAACAGGCAATAAAGAATTAAATTAAATTAGAAATATTAAAACCTTTTTAGTTTTAAATTAACTAAAAAAAATTTTGTAATTACCCCAGATTTAGTTTTAGGAGTAATCCACTATTTAGGATTAATTGTTTAACATTAGATGGTTAGTTCTAAACTAATCAGAGCGCTGGTCACAATGTTACTAATTGGACTTTACTGATACTAAATATAAATACGAACGTTTAAGATATTTCTGGTACTTTTTAAATACATTTTCTAATATATATATGTATTTACGCTTCATCAAACATTCCAATATGATATTTCGGAAAATTTTGAGAAAATGGTCAAACTTTTTCCATATTCCATATTTTTTCTACAAAAAATTCTGCTGTACTACTTTGAAAGTAAAATATTTGGCGAGTTTATAGACTTAAAAAAATATAATTTGTAAACCAGTGATATAAAATTCATTATATCGACTAGACGGATTCTGTACATTATGTTGTTGTTATTATATTCTACAAATATCTATAGAGCAGATAACATGAAAATAATAACAACAATATGTACATGGGTTGGGATGTGGTAAGGTAAAGGTAATGTGAAAGGAGAGGGGACAGTTTAGAAGCAATAATGGATTGGAGTTGGATGAAATTTTAATTAAAGTCAATTTGTGTCAAAGCCTAGAAATTTACCACTTCAATAAAACAGGGTCGAAGATCAATTGGACTCAAGTCAGTGTATGTGTCGGGACATGAGAGCAGATAAGCCGAAATATGGTGGGTAGAGCTGCAGTTCGGGCCATATTAGGAATACATTCTGCTAATTAAGAGTTGTTTTTACTGTTATAATTAAGTGGGTATTCTAGAAATACCATAAAAAAATTATAAGAATATTTAGGAGAGTAACTGCAGATAGATCTAGTTTGCGACACGTTGCTTCATAGAATGAAGGGAGAATTGAAAGTGCGTTAAAAATTGAAGTTATGTAACTATTTTAAAAATTCGTTAAAAGTCGTGTTAATTTTTAAACATTAAATTAAACATTAAATCATTATAATAAACGTAATATATAAAAAAAGGTTAAAAGATAGAACAAAAGGGCAAATGAACTTGCTAGGCAAGAATTATGCTATAACTTCTGCCGCTCAAAGCTCTGAATACCATTGGACTACAACAGGACTGCGTCCTATGTCGATAAGTTGATAGTTTAACTTCATCTTAACAAGTGGAGATCACTTATAGACAGGCTAACCTCATGATGCCGAAACAGATGGTCTGTGAAGCGATAAAAGGTTGATCTCATTGCATAGATTACTGGATATGGAAACTTCAAATATCACCACAAAAAGATGATAAAATTGTTGCAAAATAAAACTGGCTCTATATGTTATTGGTTATCATTATTGTTTAATGCGTGTATACCCTAGAGAGTATTTAATACTCCTTTTAATGTTAAGTAGTAGTTTCAGAATCATTATTATTGTACATCAGCTTTCTTAAGAAATTTTAGAAATTTTCATTGCATATAAAAATTATTTATTTAACAGCAAATAAAATGACATTAACTTACTTAATACATCTATTATATAAAATATTTCATGTATGCTAATATATGCTGTATATATCGACATAAGGAGATATTGTTTTTATAAAATTCATTGTTCTTAATACATATATTTTCTCTTATACAAAAATTGAGTTCTTGTTATTAAGCAATTTTATTTAATATACCAGGTCTATATATTTATTTAATTCAATAGTTTGAACCACAAATAATTAAGGACATTCAGTAAAAAGTTTATACTTTGTTTTCGTCAAAAAGGCAAATAGAAAAAAACTGCTTTAGCTGAAACTTTTTCGTTAAAATTATATAGACTGTAACATACTTTATGATATAAATATTGTTAAAGAATTACTAATTTAAAAGCAAACAATTAATCTTTTGGTGAATAAATTTAGTAACCATGTACATTAAGTATGAGTTTATGCATATAGTGTTGTATGATTTATTTGTGCGTTACATATATGTAAATCATGGATACGTATTTTATTTCACGTATAATATTTAGTCAGTATAAGAATGCGTTATTAATTTAAGACTTATTTCAAAAGAAATAGTATTTAACAAAATTAATTGTTAAAAATTTTAATTATGTATCATTTGTTAATTTAAATTTTCAGAGTTCCTTTCATTTTAAATCACTAAGATCATCGAATTTTAATGAGTGCAAAAGAAAATTTTCTTAAAAATTCTAACATTTTTATTTATCTTTTGCAATATTTGAGCAAACTATTATAGTTCAAAACACATTTTAAATTTGCGAACGCAAACGTGGACGTGGTAAATCTCCAAACACGGCCTCCCCATGTACACTTTTAGCTAAAGCCTTGATGCTAGCTGCAATATCCACAGTATTGTCCAGTTCCTAAAAATTACAAATTGTATTATACATTAAAATACCATATATACAATATTAGTTCTTACATCATCGTCAGATTCCTGTA